ACATCGTGATTTCCCAAAACTGAATAAATACCACACATAGCAACACAAAACTGCTTTGCTAGCTCAATCATGTTGTAACTAAGATATCCGCTGGAAAAAATATTTTTTTCACGGACCATATATTGAGTTAATGAGTTAATACAGACACCGCTAACGGCTAACAGCTAACAGTTAGCCCAGCTAATCTACGATAACCATAGTAATTACAAAACGTCACATCCCACCCTGAGTATATCCAATCAGCACCAAGTAATCCCCAAGCCCCAGCCAGGAGTTTCTCGGGGCCGTTCTGAGTACCTACTCTGAGGCAGGGACTTGTTTAGCCCCTGTAAAAGTTCCGGTACTCTGTCCTTCGGGGGTGGTTCCTGCGGTGGAGACACGCACCAACGGCCCCTGCCCCTTAAAATTACCCCTAAGTTCCTGCAGTGGAAACGGGCCTTATTACAAAGAGCCACCTCCAGCTGCTAAAATGCTTTCTGTGTGATCAGGGTCGTAGACAGTTAGTGAGTAGGTTAGTCAACTGGTTAGTAGTAACCGCAACTTTGGGGCTCATAGAGCAAGCACACTTCGGGCTACATCCTTACTTGAATATAGATAAAATGATTGAATCTCCTCTAGACTTCCCAAATATAATCAGACGAAATGGATTCAAACTTGATAGTGAGACAAGTCATTTTGTTGGGGTTGTGACGCTCAAAAACATATATCCACTGATTTATGTAAGTCTACTAGAAAAGTCATCTTGGCCCCAATGACATCACGTGACGGACTCAGGAGTTGTAATTTCACTGTTTGGCCACAAAAATTGGCTCCAAAGTCTGGCGTTGTTCCTGGGGGCCTGGCACTAACATGTGCTCGTGGCCGAACCGTCTGTCACAACAAAGAACAGAGAAGCTCAAATTGCAGCAAACACAGAAGAAGCTTGACTTCATTTGTTGCTCAGGATGCCGTTACTCCATGTATCTTTACTTAGCAAACGGTTTGCTGACAAATTAACGTTCTGAATGTCGTATTAGACCTTTTCAGACATTTTGACATGTTGTAGTAGTACACACAGCTGTGTTTGATGACATTAATGGCGGCTGCATCAGGGGAGGTGCTGAGATTGTGAGTTCTGGCTCACTGGGACAATGAATGGAACAGAGCCAACATTAATGTCATCAGTTTCACCTGTGAGTTTCCTACGATGTGTCAAAACGACGACTGAGAAAATGCTTGTTGAATTAAATCAGATGTGCATCAATCAGCTGGACTCAGATGAGAACTCAAATCGGCAAATCCAGAACATCTAAATTCACTGAACTTGTGTGAACCCACAGTTTTACCATTATGGTAATATTTTTGTTTTTGCCTCTGTGTATGTGTGTGTGTGTATGTGTGTGTGTGTGTGTGTGTGTAGTTTGTTGCTAGGAGCTGTCGCTGCATTAAGTTTAACCGTGGCAGTGACTGTCCCTGACTGTCTGTAATAGCTCCTTAATAACATGCAAGACTCTCAGTGTGTGTGTGTGTGTGTGTGTGTGTGTGTGTGCATGTGTGCATGTGTGTGTGATGGCATTCAGCGCGGCAGCATTGAAGTCTGCTGTCATTTCTTTTGTCCAATCGGCTTGAAGCTAATTTGCATGAAATTACCAAAAGAAAAAAAACCTTCTTGAGAGGCCCCGGGGCCCCTTTTTAAAAGACACACACACACACACACACACACACACACACACACTCTTTGTCTGCTTCATTAGTCCATCAGTCTCTCTCTCTCCATAGGCATCTCAACAACAATAGGATCGTTTCCATGGGAACGAACTGCTTCCACGGACTCCACAGTTTGGAGACGCTGTGAGTTCCTCTGTTTGTGTGTGTGTGTGTGTGTGTGTGTGTGTGTGTAATGGGGAGGGGTCGGAGAAGTCAGGGTTGAGTTGGGGTCAGGACGAAGGGTTAGGAGATGACAGAGAGATTTAATTTATACATTTAGAGAGGACTCTTGACAGGATTTATTCAAACAACGCTCCAGAATTTGGGGAAATCTTGTTTTTATTCTCGTGAGGGCTCAAAATCAGTTTCATCTGCAGCTCAGAGACACGTCCGGGATTTGTTTAGGGTTGTTTAAACAGTCGAATAGGATGTTATAAGAAAAAAATTCAGCAAACTAATAAAAACTAAAAGACTTATTGATGTATTTATGTACTGAAGGTTTTCCTCAGATAACGCGGGACTGTTAAACTTGGCGACAGAGCACCCGACACTACTGCTTAAAAAGACTAGATTTAACACCACAGTCTCTTTGTCACATTAGACTATACAATATCAGTCCGATCATATGTACGTACGAAGTTAACAAGTGTCATGTAGTGTGTCATAGTAGACGACAACCAACGCCACGTCTGGGACGCCTCACGACGTTCCAACAGAAAGTCTAGCATGTTTGATTTTCCTTTAGTCTTCCATGACTTCTCCCGTCACAGCCGTCACTTTGACCAATAGGTGATTACAAAACTGCATCAATGTAAAATAATGGCTCAATATCTCCCTGTAAGATCGCAGGGACATTTACACTGATCAAAATCTAACATACTCACTGCTGTTAGCATGTGATGTGTTTTGTTAAAGTCAGTATTTCTGGATATTAGCTGCAGTCAGGGCAGATTAACCTGTGTGTGTTTATGTTGGTGTGTGTGTGTATAATCTGAGGAATGTGTGTGTGTATATAGAAATGTTTCTGTTTTCTCAGTCAACCAGAGAAGCAGGTTTAAACACACAAACACACACTGCCTTCATTTGGAAATACTTCTGTGTGTGTGTGTATGTGTGTGTGTGTGTGTGTGTGGCGCTGTGTGTGTGGCCTTGGCTCTATGCTAATCATAATTACTATTCATACACGCACACACGCACACACAGACGGGCAGCGTGTGTTTGTGTGTGTACCTGTAGGATCAGCAATAATAAACCACACCAGACTCACGTTCATCTGAAACTACAAACACAAACACAGAGACGAGAAGAAAACGGAAATGAAAACAGAAAAAAATAAATTCATTCAACAAGCTGGGTTCTGTCTTAAAGGAAAACACACGCCGCTTATAGAGGAACGTCAGAGTCCAGGTCAGCTGTGGTGGTTTCCCAGCTCACATCCACCTCAGCTTCACCTAAACCTCGTCCTCTTGTTGCCCAGAGTCGTATTCTCTGGTTCCAGTAAGTGACGAAAATGGTGGTGAGCAGAAAACCCAAAATCCAGCTTTCAAAACATCAGAGACCTCTGAGGTTGAAACCATAAAAATACCTTGTAACTGTCTGTGGCCAGCGTGAGCCTCCAGAAACCACCGGAGCTGAGTGGGAAAGCCTGAGACACCTGTCAGTCAAGACGTTCCTCAAACAGCATTAAAGGAATAATTCCACACATTGGCCGACTGACTACGACCTAACTTGAGCTGATGACACACCCACACCTGAGGGAAAATGATCAAAAACACAATCAGGTTCAACATGTTAACAATTTGGAATTGTATCCAGTACACAGCTCTTTCCTAGTATTCCCAGTCTGGACAATTTCCAGTGTAGTGTTAGCGTTAGCAGCCAAGAGCTAAATCATTCCCAGTTCAGACTTGTTTTTCCCAATCTAGAGCTGACATTCCCAGATCAGGGTTGGTTTTCCCAGTCTAGAGTGGAGAATCCCCAGTATAAAATTGGTATTAGAAGTTTCAAGCAAAAACATTCCCAGTCTAGGGTTGGTTTTCCCAGTCTAGAGTGGAGAATTCCCAGCATAAATTTGGCATTAGCAGTTTCAAGCAAAAACATTCCCAGTCTAGGTTTGGGTTTCTGAGGCTGTAGCTGACAACTCCCAGCACAGAGTAGTAAGTTTTCAACAAAATGTTCCCAATTTAGGGTCGGTTTCCCAGTCTAGACCTGAGAATTCCCAGTATAGAGTTAGTATTAGATGTTTTGAGCTAAACACTCCCAGTCTATGGTTGTTTTTTCCAGTCTACAGCTGACAATTCCTGGTGTAGAGTAGGTATAAGCAGCTTCTAGCAAAACGTTCCCAGTCTAGGGTTGGTTTTCCCAGGCTGTAGCTGACATTTCCCAGTATAGCGTTAGCATTAGTAGTGTCTAGCCAAATGTCCCCAGTTTAGAGTTAGTTTTCCCAGTCTAAAACTAAGAATTCCAAGTATAAAATACGTATGAGCAGTTTCAAGCTAAATAATTCCAGTCAAGGGTTGGTTTTCCAAGGCTATAGCTGACATTTCCCAGTATAGAGTTAGTAACAGACGTTTTGAGCTATGGGCTCCCAGTTTAGGTTGTTTTTTCAGTCTAGAGGTGACAGTTACCAGTATAAAGTAAGTATGAGCTGTTTCTAGCCAAATGTGTCCAGTTAATTGTTGGTTTTTCCCAATCTAGGCTTGAGGATTCCCAACATAGATTAAGTATGAGCACTTTCATGCTAAACATTCCTGGTTGATGGTTGTTTTTCCCAGACTTGAATTCACAATTCCCAGTATAGAGTTGGTATTAGCAGTTTCAAGCTATAACGTTTCCAGTTTAGGGTTGGTGTCCCAGTCTAGAGCTGAGAATTCCCAGTATAGAGTTGGTTTTAGCGGTTTCAAGCTGAACATTCTCAGGTTAGGATTCATTTTCTCAGTCTAGATGTATCACCTGAGGTTGTCTGTGGGAGAGATTCTCAGGACTGCAGGACTCCTGATGTTCCTCCACCCACTAACATAACCTATTGAACCTAATCAGCACGCGCAATTTACAGAACGACATTACAATAATTAAGATTTCCCAAAAACCTCTGGATGTCCCATGAGCCCTTAAACGGGCTAAATCAGAAACCTATTATCCAGCTCTCATCCAATCACAGCCCTCCAAATTCCATCAATAATAGTCTGGCACCAGCTATTGTTGTTACAAATCATCCTCTGGACACACACATGTACTCACACACTCGGGACCAGACTGAAGCAATTTCAATTTAATGGTATTTTCACAATGTGGCAGCTTCATTCCACACAGTGTGTGTGTGTGTATGTGTGTATGTGTGTGTGTGTGTGTGTGTGTGTGTGTGTGTGTAATAGCCACCTGCATCCCAGAGATGGATGAGAGGACCTAATTGAAGCCATGTGCAGACTCTGAGAATGCTCTAGTCTCTGCTGGTGATGAAAGCAAAGAGCGAGGCAAAGTTAAATGTTTCTTTAATAAACTTAAAAGAAGGAAAAGCTAAACATAACGTTTAAACACACACAAACATTTACATTAAACAACTTCCCAGTCTGAGGCTGACTTTCCCACAGCGTTGTATAGCTGGTCTGTCCATTATGGAGCTTATACTGAGCTATCATTCCCAGTATACTGCTGACATTCCCAATATATAGCTGTATTATAGACCTAGAGATGGTATCCCTGGTCTAGAATGGACCATTCCCTATATTCTCAATCTTAATGTGATAATTTCCACTATGGAGGTAGTATTAGCAGCCTAGAGCTAAAACATTACCAGTTTAGACTTGTTTTACAATCTAGAGCTCTGATATTCCCAGTATATATAGCTGTATTATAGGTCTACAGATGGTATTCCCAGTAAAGCTCTGACATTACCTGGTCTAGAGCTGACCATTCCCTACATCATACAGCTGGTATTCCAAGCCTAGAGGTGACAGTTTCCAATATCAGCTAATATTCGCATCCTAGAACTAAAGCCTTACCAGTTAAGACAGTTTTCCCAATCTAGAACCGACATTTCAGCCTAGAACTGACATTCCCAGTATATGTAGATTGATGTTTCCTTTCAAAAGCTGACAGTTTCAGTTCAGAGCTGAATGTTTCCAGCATGAATCTGGAACTTTGACTGCATTTTTATTGCCAGTGTAGAGCTGATATTCCCATTTTAGGATTTACAAAATCCCTGTCTAGCTGGTATTCCCTTTTTAGGAAAGACAAAATCCAGGATAGAGTTGGTATTCCCATTCAAAGACAGACAAAATTCCTTCATAAAGCTGGTATTCCCAATAAAGGACAGACAAAATCCACATGTAGAGCTGATATTCCCATTCTATAACAGACAAAATCCAGCATAGAGCTGTTTTTCCCATTCAAGCACCGACAGAATCCCTACATAGAGCTTGTATTCCCTTTCTAACATGGACAAAATCCAGTATAGAGCTGGTATTCCTATTCGACAGACAAAATCCCTGCACAGTGCTGGTATTCCCATTTTATGCCCCCTCTAGGGCATACATAATCCTGCTCAGAGCTGGTATTCCCTATTCTACAACAAACAAAATCCAGTATAGAGCTGACAGAGCTTTTATTCTCAAAATAACGTACATTTGATATTCCAAATTAAAGTTTACTTTCCAAATTTGACCTAGTATTCTTAATCTAGAGCTGTAAATTGAGAGTTCCCCAGTTTGGAATTGATAAACCCAGTATTCACCAGCATAACCAGTCTAGATGTAGTATTCTCATCATAAAAGAGTGTCCAAAGTTGACCATTCCATGTACAGATCTGGTATTGCCAGTCTAGAGCAAAGACAATCCCAGTAAGAGTTCATATTTCCAGTCTAGAATTCACCATTCCCAGTATTGCCTGTATTTCCACAGTTCAACCTGACACCTGTGATTTGCAGCTAGTTAACAAGTTCAGCCTAATATTCCATTTTAAGGTTGACATTCCCAATTTAGATGTAACATATCCGATGTAGCAGCGCTAATCCCAGTCCAGATCAGGTATTCCCAGTCTGTGTGTATGTGTGACATACGGAGAGCTCTCACTGACTGTTGATGTTGTGTCTTCAATGTCACATTCCCAACTTTTATTCCCAAGTTACCTCCCTGTCATTTATAACCTCTCTTTTTTTCCTCCTCTCAGAGATTTGAACTACAACAGTCTGGTCGAGTTTCCGACGGCCATCCATTCGCTCAGTCACCTCAAGGAGCTGTGAGTCTGAACTATTTGTATGTGTGAACCGAGAACTTCAGTAAACATCAGCGTTTCTTTCACTTGTTGTCTCTTATGTGTTCCTGAATGCACCATAGAACTACTGATTACACCTTGATGTACCTGAACACACCACAGTTTAACACATACACAGTATTACTTCAGTAAAAGTCTGTAAGGAAAAAGTACTTAAAGTATCAAAAGTAAAAGTACTGAACATAGAAAAATGAACGTGTGAGTGTTTTACTGTTACGGTACGTATTATATCCTTAGATTACTTTAACGGTAAGGTAGGAAGGAAGGAAGGAAGGAAGGAAGGAAACTCATTTTTTTTCTGTTTCTTCTGTAGTGGTTTCCATAGCAACAACATCCAGTCCATCCCGGAGCACGCCTTCACCGGGAACCCCTCACTGATCACCATGTAGGTACCACCGACTCATCTCAATCCCAACTCAAGGCCACCTTACTAGATTTTTAAGGAGCTTTCAGCTGTGTTGTGGAAAACCTGGAAGTCATGGAATTTCAGAATCACATTTTCCAGGCCTGGAGAAGTCATGGAATTAGTAAAAATCATTGAAAGTTTTGGAGAAGTCATGAAATTTTGTTGTGTGTAATTAAATTCTTGCCGTAGTCTTCGGTAGATAACCTTCCATGTGACGGCAAATGTATTTTCTGAAGCTGTCGACCTAACGTAGTTCTGATATGCATCAGTACACGATATTTACCAACAAGTAAGCTTCTTCATTTTCTCTCTGTGTTCCATCTCTCCCTTCACGTGTGCCAGCTAGCCTAAATTATGTTTGAATAGAGTCTGATGTGTTCGAAAAACACTGGGTGACAGCCGTGGTGGAGGCATTATGTTTTCAGGTTGCCTGTCCTTATGTACGTCTGTCCCATGCTTGTGAACGCGATATCTCAAGAATTTCTTAAAATTTGGCACAAATATCCACTTTGACTCAACGATGACCTGATCAGTTTTTTGTGGTCAAGGGTTTAAGGTCAAGGTCAGCGTGATCTTGCATCCATCTCATTCTCATCAACATAATATCTCAAGAACAGCGTGAGGGAATGTCTTCAAATTTGGCACAAACATCTTCTTGGATTCAACGATGAACTGATTAGATTTTGGCGGTCAAGGTCACCTCATCTTTGTCATTCTTGTGAATGTGATATCTCAAGAACACCTTGAAGAAATTTCTTCAAATTTGGCACAAACATCCACGTGGACTGAAGAATAAAGAAGAAATTAGAATTTGGTGGTCAAAGGTCAAGATTACTGTGACCTCACAAAACATGTTTTTGTCCATAACT